TACCAGCAGGCTTTGGTGGAGAAGACCACTCTAGCCGAGCAGCTGCAGGCCGAGATTGAACTTTGCGCCGAGGCCGAGGAGTCGCGTTCCCGTCTGATGGCTCGCAAGCAGGAACTGGAGGACATGATGCAGGAGCTGGAGACGCGCATCGAGGAGGAGGAAGAACGTGTCCTGGCCCTTGGCGGCGAGAAAAAGAAGTTGGAGCTGAATATCCAGGATTTGGAAGAGCAGCTGGAAGAAGAGGAGGCCGCCCGTCAGAAATTGCAGTTGGAGAAGGTGCAGCTCGATGCCAAGATTAAAAAGCACGAAGAAGATCTCGCCCTTACCGACGACCAGAACCAAAAGCTTCTCAAGGAGAAGAAGCTGCTGGAGGAGCGCGCTAACGATCTTTCCCAAACTTTGGCTGAGGAAGAGGAGAAGGCTAAGCATCTGGCCAAGCTAAAGGCCAAACACGAAGCCACGATCGCTGAACTCGAGGAACGCATGCACAAGGATCAGCAGGTGCGTCAGGAGTCTGATCGATCCAAGCGAAAAATCGAGACCGAAGTGGCCGACCTCAAGGAGCAGCTCAACGAGCGCCGCGTCCAGGTGGAGGAGATGCAGGCTCAGCTGGCTAAGCGCGAGGAGGAACTTACCCAGACTCTCTTGCGCATCGATGAGGAATCCGCCACGAAGGCCACCGCCCAGAAGGCTCAGCGCGAGCTGGAGTCACAGCTGGCCGAGATTCAAGAGGATCTGGAGGCCGAGAAGGCGGCTCGTGCAAAGGCCGAGAAGGTGAGACGCGACCTTAGCGAGGAACTGGAGGCTCTCAAAAATGAGTTGCTCGACTCCCTGGACACTACAGCCGGTAAGACAACATATCTCCCCGTTAATCAGGAAAGCCCCTAAACTCGATATAACTATTTTTAAAAACAGCCCAGCAGGAACTGCGCTCTAAGCGCGAGCAGGAGTTGGCTACGCTGAAGAAGTCGCTGGAAGAAGAGACTGTCAACCACGAGGGCGTTTTGGCCGATATGCGGCACAAGCACTCGCAAGAGCTTAACGGCATCAACGACCAGCTTGAGAACCTTCGCAAGGCCAAGACAGTCCTCGAAAAGGCCAAGGGAACCTTGGAGGCGGAGAACGCCGACTTGGCCACTGAACTGCGAAGCGTCAACAGCTCCCGGCAAGAGAACGATCGCCGGCGCAAGCAGGCAGAGTCGCAGATTGCTGAATTGCAGGTAAATAAATCAAGACATTTCTGAAAACAATCACTTGACCAATTTTTTCACAGGTAAAACTAGCTGAGATTGAACGCGCTCGCTCGGAACTGCAGGAGAAGTGCACAAAACTGCAGCAGGAAGCAGAGAATATAACGAATCAGCTGGAGGAAGCCGAACTGAAGGCCTCGGCTGCCGTCAAGTCTGCGAGCAACATGGAATCGCAGCTCACGGAGGCCCAGCAGCTATTGGAAGAGGAAACGCGCCAGAAGCTGGGTCTTAGCTCCAAGTTGCGTCAGATCGAGTCAGAAAAGGAAGCTCTACAAGAGCAGCTGGAGGAGGATGATGAAGCCAAGCGCAACTTCGAACGAAAGCTGGCAGAGGTCACCGCCCAGATGCAGGAGATTAAGAAAAAGGCCGAGGAAGACGCGGATCTGGCCAAGGAACTGGAGGAGGGCAAGAAGCGGCTCAACAAGGATATCGAAGCCTTGGAGCGTCAGGTCAAGGAACTAATTGCTCAGAATGACCGCCTCGATAAGAGCAAAAAGAAGATTCAGTCGGAGCTTGAAGATGCCACCATTGAGCTGGAGGCGCAACGCACGAAGGTAAGTCTCAATTTGTCGCATAGAAATCACTTTCTAATGCTAAATAAAACTGTGTCCTCTGTCAGGTGCTCGAATTGGAGAAGAAACAGAAGAACTTCGACAAGATCCTCGCCGAGGAAAAAGCCATATCAGAGCAGATCGCCCAGGAACGCGATACTGCAGAGCGGGAGGCGCGCGAGAAGGAGACCAAGGTGCTGTCGGTTTCCCGCGAGCTAGACGAAGCCTTCGACAAGATTGAAGATCTCGAGAACAAGCGCAAGACCCTCCAAAACGAACTCGACGACCTGGCCAACTCACAGGGAACCGCTGACAAGAACGTCCACGAACTGGAGAAGGCGAAGAGGGCGCTTGAGTCTCAGCTGGCCGAACTGAAAGCACAAAACGAGGAACTCGAGGACGATCTGCAACTGACTGAAGACGCCAAGCTGCGCCTGGAGGTCAATATGCAGGCCCTGCGCTCTCAGTTCGAACGCGACCTGTTGGCTAAGGAGGAGGGCGCCGAGGAGAAAAGACGCGGACTCGTCAAGCAGCTGCGGGATCTAGAGACCGAGTTGGACGAAGAACGTAAACAGCGCACGGCCGCCGTGGCGTCAAAGAAGAAGCTGGAGGGCGACCTTAAGGAGATCGAGACCACAATGGAGATGCATAATAAGGTGAAGGAGGATGCGTTGAAGCACGCGAAGAAGCTGCAAGCACAAGTCAAGGACGCGCTGCGCGACGCCGAGGAGGCTAAGGCCGCCAAGGAGGAACTGCAGGCGCTGAGCAAAGAGGCCGAGCGTAAGGTGAAGGCCCTGGAGGCAGAAGTATTACAGCTGACCGAGGATCTGGCTAGCTCAGAGAGGGCGCGCCGTGCTGCCGAAACGGAGCGCGACGAGCTGGCCGAGGAAATTGCCAATAATGCCAACAAGGGCTCCCTAATGATCGACGAGAAGCGCCGATTGGAGGCCCGCATCGCCACTCTTGAGGAGGAGCTGGAGGAGGAACAGTCCAACTCAGAGGTGCTGTTGGATCGCAGCCGCAAGGCGCAGCTGCAGATTGAGCAGTTGACTACTGAGTTGGCCAATGAGAAGTCCAACTCCCAGAAGAACGAGAACGGCCGCGCTCTGCTCGAACGCCAGAACAAGGAGCTAAAGGCCAAGCTTGCCGAAATCGAGACGGCGCAGCGCACCAAGGTGAAGGCCACGATTGCCACGCTCGAGGCCAAGATCGCCAACCTCGAGGAGCAGCTAGAGAATGAGGGCAAGGAGCGACTGTTGCAGCAGAAGGCCAACCGCAAGATGGACAAGAAGATTAAGGAGCTTACGATGAACATCGAGGACGAACGAAGACATGTCGACCAGCACAAGGAGCAAATGGATAAGGTAAGTGGAAGAAGAGTAAGTTGTAGGGAATCGTTGCTAAAGTGTTATTATTTTGCTTTCACAGCTGAATAGCCGCATTAAACTGCTCAAGCGCAACCTGGACGAGACCGAGGAGGAGCTGCAGAAGGAGAAGACGCAGAAGCGCAAGTACCAGCGTGAGTGCGAGGACATGATTGAATCGCAGGAAGCCATGAATCGTGAGATTAACTCACTCAAAACAAAACTACGGTAAGTCGAGGCCTGTGCCGGGTGAATTTCTTCATTGTCAGGATGGGAGTCTCCTTAGGTGTCTCTGGGGTGGCATTTTTGATTATTGTTTGAAATTTATCTTTGGTTCAAGCTCCATACAAGTGGCCGAGACTGAAAAGGCCAAGGCGTATTCGCCCAAAAAGGATGCCGCACTCATTATGAATTGTGAGGGTCTGCATTAGGTTTCGTTTCGCTTCGAATTGCTTCGTTTCCTTCTCGTAGGCTGTAAGTGCTGCTGTTCGCCATGATCCTTAGAACCAGTGAATGTCAACCGAACCCAGCAACCACAACATCGTCTTTTCTCTGCATGTTAGGAACAGAACACCCCACCAAGTCCAAACGTGCGAACTTGTGCTGTACCCCAAAATACCTTGAAAATAGTTCTTAGACATGATCCCCCATAAGTTCCCCCTGTTTTGACTTATCTGTTGCCCCTGCACTGCACGTTCACCCATAAACAAAGAGTCCATTGCGAACTGAGTTACTTATTATTTATCGTGCTCTTTCCCTTCCTAGACGCACCGGCGGCATGGGTCTCAGCTCCAGCCGGCTCACGGGCACACCTTCATCAAAGCGCGCAGGAGGAGGCGGCGGCGGCGGGGACGACTCATCGGTGCAGGATGAATCATTAGATGGAGAGGATTCTGGCAATTGACGCGTTAATTATTAGAAGAAGAGAAAGTTGAAGCGGAGGAAGAAAGATAAGATGAAGAGCAAAATAAACGATTATATTTAATGTTTCTTTTATATAATTTCTCTGTTATTTTTTATATAAACTATTATACATACTTAAATTAAAACGTAAACAAACAAAACCAACATTTTTATAACGACAAAAAATAATGAAAGAAAAAAAACAAAAACAATGTTGTAAAACACTCCCACTCTATACAAACCATAAACACATAAGAATTTTCCCATCCCTCGAATGGCTGCGGATGAAGCAGCCAACGAAATAAAATTAAAATTATACCACACAAAAACCAACCAAGAAACGTATTAACTCTGAGCTACACAATCCCACTAAACCCCATAATGGAGAGACAAAATCAGCAGGACATTCATTTCCACATTTTGTAATAACATAATATAGAATCCATAGAAGTACTCGATGCAATATATAATTCATGCATTTAACAACTAAAATGGTTTTCAAACAGAAACAGAACCGAACAGGAAATCAAATGTTGAACACGCAACTAATATACGAATTTCGTTTTTGTTTAGAACTAAACAATAAAATATTTGCTACATGAAACGGATCTTTCCTTGGGCAGTCCTACAAAATATTGTAGTGAAGTATTTTGCCTGAGCCAATGGCAAAAATGGGAGAAATATGGAATGCTGTACCTCGCTGAGCTCGTATATAAATTCACAATCGTTTGGCTTTCAAACCTCAACATTTTTATTTTTTACCATTTTTCACTAAAAATTATAATGTGAAAACAGGTAAAAAGTTTAAATTTTTTAAACCATCCGGAAAGTGATAGGATTCATTATTTTGACTTATTAGCTGTACAAAACCCTGCGTCTTTTAGATTTCGTTATGAAAAATGTAAAAGCGGTCAAGTACAATAGCTATAGGTAATAAACAGTTTATTGAACATTTCTACAAATCTATACATCAAATCACTACAGACTAAAGGTAACTGGCGACTCTTTGTTTAAGGACTATTCTATGATAAGCGTTGACAAATTCGAAAATCTCAGTTTGAAAAACTTTCCCCCTACCCGCCCCCAACTAACTAATGGCACTATTTCGCTCGGTGGTTGCTACCCTCTTGCACGGGCAGCGGAACGGGCATGTCGATGTGATGCACGACGACGATCTCGCCATTGAGTGCTTCCAGCTCAGCAGAGGACTTGCTCTCCTGGAGCTGCTCCTCCCGCCTGCTGTTCAGGTAGTAGACTCCGGCCACGATCAGGCTGAACGATGTCACCGATATGAGCAGGGTGCCGTATTTGAGGGTCTGCTGAATGGCATTCAGGCCAAAGGTGCTTATGTACAACGTATGGAGCACCTCCTCGGAGAAATCACCCGAGGTGATCTCGATCCACATCAGGGGAAGGATGGTTGTGTTCCTCAGTCGCCCTCCCTGATCTAAAACAAGACGGTCATATTATTATGGATGAAATGAAAAGATTAACCTCTTTTCTTACTTCTCAGTATTGGCGTCTTGTCCAGCATTATGTTGATCTGGACGCGTGAGGCTCCGCTAATGGGAAAGCCGAATCTTGGATGAATGTCGGCATAGGTCTGATGCAAGTCTGCGTCGGGTTTGATACCTTCAAAGTCTTCGTATAGCTTCGGATCCCCGGTAAAGAAGTGTGGGAACGAGGGAAAAATGGGCGCATCGCCGTAGCACTTGGTGGCGTTGATCACTCCGCTGGGCAGGCAGAGCTCTGTGTTCTGGCAATAGCACGCGTTTGCAGAATTATTGTCGGGATGGTCAAATACATCCATTGGTGTGCGGTAGCGCAGGACATCAATGTCGTTGTAGATGGTGACCTCCTTTTCGAAGTGCAGAGGAACCTTGCGGCACAGGACCTGGAGGAATACATTTACAGTGCTGCGGTCCTGCAGCAAGTGCGGTGAGAACATCGAGGGTTCGGATCCGTCGATGCGATTGCACTCTTCCCCCTCCCAATAGTCCAATTGGGGCATCCCATTAAACTGGGTGATGATGCTGAACTTGGTGATGTCGTCCTCGCCCGTGTTGAGCTGAACTGAATCCACGCTGGTCCCGTTGCGCTAATGGAGAAGCCTTCTTAGTACGCTGATAAACAAATGGGTCAGATTACCTACGCTCATTAGAAGACCAAATCTTCGCCTGCCTCTGCCCAGAGACTTTAGCTTAATGATGTTGTCCTCATAACCCCAAAGATAATCGAAAACTGTGAGATTCTTGAAGAGCGGCTCCTTATATTGTTTGATCAGAGCGGTGACAGGTAGGCGTTCAATCACCTTCATACGCTTAACAGGTCCGGCGGCAGAAATAAGTGGTACATTCGGCACCCTTACCACTTGGTCCTCCGCAATGGTAGATTTATCCGGCAGGAACTTATAGGACTTTCGGTCCTGAAAAATATTGATCAACAATGTCACTATTTTTCGTAATGATAATGCAAAAATTTGGTGACTTACCCTGAAGCTAACTGTAAAGTTTTTATTAAAGGAAACTTCATCTTTGACAGTGTGTTCTTGGTAAGTTAGAGGACCCATATCCACGACCTTAATTTTATCTGCACGCCCTGCCAAGTAGTCGTCGATGTTGGGGTAGTGAAATATGTGTGCCTTCAGCAAAGTATCATACTTTGGATCGGGGTTTAACCAACTTTTGGCTGTGTCCGAGTTCTCGGCGAGAATCAGATTCTGTGGATCAGTTGGGAATAGATATATTTTGAAATGAAATTCAGGGGGCGTATCCAGGACTCGTGCGATTTTTAGACTAAATTTTAACCAAAAGCTGGTCAAAACAGTAATTGTAAAACACCAAGAATAGTTATATGAATGGCGGTTACATGCACTTAAAACTTACCTCCAGCATGGTGTTGTTGTAATACTCGGTGAACCACATTACAAAGAATCCGGTCACGCTGATTACAAAGAGCAGAAACATTACGCCCAGCACTGGAAAAGTCGAAGCGGATTAATCGAGCTTGCATGGCTTGGCAAGAGTGCTCTACTCACTTATCAGGGTTCCGATATCCTTGGACGTTGGTTCGCGGTTTTGTGCCTGATTGCGCAGGCCCAAGGCCTCCAGTATCATCTGCAGCACAGTGGGCTTCTCGGCTCCGTTCGTCATGTTGTAGCCTCCAAAGTTTCCTGTGCCCGCCCTGCTTCGTGTCGAGTTAAGAGTGAGGGATTTGATCATGGGTGGAGGTGGGGGGACAGTTCGATCGGCCTCTTGCCTAGGAGGCTGGGCCACCTCAGGGTCTTTGGCGTGTGGCATTGTACTGTGACTGAGCGGGCTTGATATTTGAATGCAGCAAGCTGAAAATGTAATAACTTTCTTATCATTTTATTATTATGTTGTGGCGCAGGGTTTTCCAAGCCAGATTATGGTTTCGACGTCCTCTCGCTTATGTAAGATGCCTAACGACTTGTGGGAACTGACTTAGTTGCAAGTCCAAATCTTGTTCATTCATATTCCACTTATATATAATGTTATCTTTATAAATGCTAAACACGTGGCCCAACAAAGGGATCGGTTTGGCATGATTATTAGCTTATCAGGCTGGGCTCTATATATAGGAATCTGAGGTTCATTGAACACATAAAAAGTCAAGACTCCAGAGCACCATAATTTTAATTGATCCGATTAACACAAATTAATTAATACCTTTTATAGCTCAATTATAACTCAAACTTTATGGACTAATTATTTAGGCTTTAATAACACCTTTAATTTAGTTAGCTCCTTCGCGACGGAACGATTTTTAACCATGCGTATACAGATGTTTCCACGAACTAATCGGGGTTTCAATTGCGAGAGCCTTCGTTGCTCCGGAGCTTGGTGGTTCTGCCAGTGCTGAAATCAAAGTTCAACCGTATGTACTCTAGCCTTATCAGCAGCTCTTGCCATTATATGTGGTACATACTTACTAGGCATTAATTCATTATTAAATGGAAACAACACATATTAGTCCACTATATGTATAGAGTTGAGCTCTAGTTGGATTTGCCAACTTTGAAATCGGGTCAACGGCATACGATAAGGCGCAACCTGAGCGTTGAAATTTTCCAATAACACGCTCGATAATGAACTGAAATCTGAAGGGGATTGAAATAAGATCGGACGGACGTGGAAAGATTAAATTGATAGTTGATTCAGTTGATTTCTAATGAGCTAGAAGCAAGGGGAACTGAACTTTATTTTAAAGTAGGGGAGAGTGGGGGAATTTCGTCAGCATTTTTTCAAAGCTATTTATTGTCCATCTTGAGACACGTTATTATATTTCTATTTTTATTGTTGAATGCGGTTAGCACTAAGCTTTAAAATGTGACATTCCCCTATTTTTTTAATTAACTTGGTGATTTATAAAAAATTAAAAAGTAAAACCAATATACTGGGGCAATCTCACCACATAGGGGGGTAAAATCACCACACAACTGGGGAAATTTCGTCACCTGAAAAATGTAGGGAACTTTACGCCTAAAAGTATGCTACACTGATCAAGCGTACCATTTTTGTTGACGTCCTATATTTGTTGCTGCTGCTGGTAGTCTGTTCGTTAGCCAGCTCGTCAAATATAAAAATATGTATTTAAAATAGGTGCGAACTTACCCTTAGCGTCGGGTGGCGAAATTTCCCCAGACCGTACTTTTTTAGAAATAATTATTTTTCTTCCGAAATTAGGCGCGAAGTTAAAAATCACTAACGCAGAAATGAACATTATAGCACTGTGTATTATATAAAAAATCGTGTATCTTATTCCTTTTGAATTGTGGCATACAGAAAAAATTTCGTCGAGAACTAAATGTAGCTTTTGAACTGTTAAAACACATTTAATATTATAGCTTAATTATCTTGGCCTTCTGTGCAAAACAAATGCATTGGTTGTGTCTGGCCGTCTTGAAGGACTAAAACAAAAAAATTATATATTTTTACGACTTATGGATTCCGAGATATTGCAGGTGACGAAATTGCCCCTGTGACGAAATTCCCCCACTCTCCCCTACGCATAAGTATCCTGTGTGAAACTATGAATTCTTTTCTGGGAATAAGAAACCATGTCTATCTGTCTTACTAGGTATATATGCATTGTAAGTCCTAAAGGTATCGTAAATTATTTTCAACTTTTTACTTACTTTTGGAGTCCAATGGCTCAGACTTTCCACTGCGCTCTCCCGAATTGGTTGCAGAAAAGTGGCATTGACTGATAACGTGATGCGGGGGCGCCTAGCGTTAGCCGGGGGCGAGTGGGTGGGTGGGACTGAGCGGGAGAGCGGCAGCAGCAGAGAGCGCCGACTCGATCGGCATGCAGTTGAAATGAGCTTTGGGGCACCAGCTGTTTTTTCGGTGGGCAACGCAAACGTGCGCGCTACGTTGGAAACGGAACCACTCTCCCAGAGACGAACTGCACCCACACGCTGAGCGATTCGGATTCGCTTATCTACCGCGCACTCTCTCTCTCGCTGTTTACTCCGCTGCTCTGCACTTTCGAAGTCTGCCAAACATTTGGCGTCTTAATTAACAATTTCGTCGTGTTTACGCTGGCTGAACACAGTCGTCGTGTTGAGTGGCCGTTTTTTGGATTTATTGGATATTTTTTCGGGTCTCCGTTCCCCCAGACGCTCCTGCTGGATGCACTACCTATGTATCTATGCTGCGACAGACTCGTTTCGTATCTGGTATTTTGTGTTTTGTATCTTGTATCTGGCGCTGGTTCCTCTGTCTCCCTCTGTTCAGTTCTTTTTGTTGCCTTGCGTTCTTTGTTCGCCTGCTTCTTTGTTTTGTCGCCGTCTCTTTTGTGGGCTCGATCGCGCACTGGCTGTTGTTGTTATTGTTGTTGTATTAACTGCAGCTGGAGTCGTTGTTGTAGCTGTGATAGAGCTGGTTTTCCTCCACCCGAACTGAACTAGAGTTTTCCTGCCCAGCTGTATGGGCTGTCCGTATCTGTCCGTATGGGCTGTCCGTATCTGGGGTGGCTTAGTTTCCGCGGCCACTTCCAGCGAACGGTAGCAATTAAAAGCGGACTGCCTTTTAGCGGAATTTGTTTATCTGGGCACCGAGTATAAGTATGGCCCACTGCCACCGGTTGATCCACTTGCCAGTTGTTTGCCGCGATTAGAGCTACATACTCGGGCATTCCTGCCCACGCATTATCTGGCAGGGAATAGGTAACCCTACTGAGCCGATTAGATTTCGATGCGATCTTCGCGTGGATTAGAGTTGGGGAGTAGAGAGCGGGCCTGGAACTGGCACTGGTTCTCCGCTGGACTGGACTGTGCGTACTGCCCACCAAACAAGTTATTACTACGACGTCGGAATCGGACGGAATCAGTTCGAGCTGAGCAACGGAGCAACTGAGCAATGCCAGCAGCGCAGTCGCTCCTCTTTCCTCATTCTTCAGCCGACGCTCTGCCACGGCCTCTGCCGCTACCATCGCCACTGATAAGCGGGCGGAGCGGTCAGCTATGATTGCTGATTACCGCTGGTCGCGGATCGCAATGGGGATGGGGAGCTGGCGCCGACTGCGCTGCCGAGGAATCGGGATCTCTTGTTTACTACGTAGCAGCTTTGTGCGTGCCCGCGAGACAAAGTGCAAACTTAATCGTCGAGACAAAGAAGCCACTCGGCCCCTCGGCAGAGATAGAAGATGCATCAGCCCTCCAGCTGATCGTTCCGCTCCAGCTTCGTCTGCGTATCATTACTATCGAGTTAGAACGGCCTGGGGGCGGGGGTCCAGAAACAGGCTTTGTTGTTTTGATCGCTGTGAGAGAGTAGCCTGGCCAGAACCGATGGAATCGGAACGTAGGGGGCTAGTACACAGAGAGAAAATTACTCAGTAATAATTGTATTAAATGTAAATGTGTTATACTTTTGGAGCACGGATAGATCTTATTGAATCGTATCTGTGAAGGGATAACAGACAAAGAAAAACCCATATGGGCACTTCCAAAAAAAAGTCCACCAAGCCAAAAACCTTGAAACTTGAATAAAACATATTTCCACATGTTTCTAATTAGTTGGATACTGAGCTTAACTACAAATTTGGAGTATAGTTTGATTATTTTTATGACAAACCCCACCAATATACACAAAAATCAGTTTTTGGCTATTTTTTTGTTATTTTTTGGACCTGTCTTCTGTTGTAAATTTATCCTATAGGAATGCTAATATGTGACATTTTTCTGTACTGAATGCTTCATTCACATGCTAAACTATTAAGTTAAAAGCAAAACATCCAGCAATTGAGAGATAGAGGTAAAGAAATCCGCTTTACAAAACAGTCGGAAAAAATGTCCCGAGCGACATGTCCCGAGCGAATGTGGTTGAAACTGCATAAAAAAAACGGCAAAGAATTTTTGAGTAAAACCAAAAGCATTTCACAACGACATGTTTGAACAACATTCTAAAAAAAATCGCATTTAAATATTCCATCAGAATTTGCTAATTTCTGGTGTTGTATGAACTTCCCCGAAATCCACTTCTATTTTTGTCCCGAGCGAATACGGCAGTTTTTTACCGATATCTTAAAAACTAAAAGTGGTGCAAAATAAAGATTTTTACCAAAAATAGAGCTTAGGAAGGGTGAAAAGAAAAGCCAATCATTAAAATTAAAATCCATTGTTTTACAATTTTTTTTCAACTTTAAAGGTGTGCAAATGTCCCGAGCAACATTTTGGAAGTGCCCATATATTGTTAATAATATTTATTTTATACATTTATGTATTATTAGGATGGAAATCAGAAAAAAATGCCCTTATCGTCTTCCTTTTATTTTTAAAGGAATGTAGCCAACTTGCTGAGAATAAAATTGCCTCGACTCATACCATTTGCTTACGGTCTAAAGTTGTCTGAGTGTAGGCAGATGCACATGCAAAGTCCCCCACCTACCGGCTATTTATAAGTGTGCGCCGTCGCCAAAACAATTTAATTATCACTTAAGTACTTTAGGTTCCGCTCGCCCATGGGCCTGCATTTCGTTTGCCCAAGCAATTAACGGCGGAGAAAGGCACGGGTAGTCGATGAGTGGATGGATGCTGAAGGTGCTACCGCTCCCTTACATTGTTTCCTTCATTTCGTTTCGCAATTCTTGTATGAGGACGTATTTAGACTGGCTTATCGAGCCTCTTTATTTGAATTCTTGAGCTAGCAGAGAGACCGGAAGATAGCAAATACCCCCGCTGGAGCCGTGTTATTGAACCCCCAGCGTGTGTGCTCAGCATTTATCAGTTCAGTCAAGAGTTTACAATTAATCCGCCGTTTCGAAACGTCCACCGCCCGGAATCCCTGCCCAGATGCCCAGCTCATCGGGTTTCGCATCAGCGCGGCTGATAGCCCCTCTGAACTTTTTGTTTTGCTCGGAACGAATGACGTGGATGGATTGGGTCTTCAATAGCTCAATCTGTCGTGCTAGCTAATAGCCTCTCAATAACACAGAGTTGCCTGAAATAGTTACCTGTGGGCCCCTGTTAGGATCTGAACTCCATAGTGCAGTTTATTTGACCGGTGCTCGAGTTGACAGCTTAAGTGGCGAACCTGAGTTACTTACGTTTGTTTAGGGCCTTGCCTAAACAGCCCGAACAGAGCTTCAGATGACGGGCATTATCTGTTAGTGCCCACTTTCTTAACAACCGAAGGGAACTGGCTTATCAATCCGGTTGCCAGGCAGTCAAGTGCCAAACACTTCCCGAAACACACACAACGAATATTAGCAGATCAGCATATCAGCCGTGGATTGGAGCCAAGCTGTTCCGAAAGTGATCCAAATATATTCCAGCCAGCGCCCCTTGATGGAACTCTGATCGTTGGCCATGCAGGTGGCCAACATTCTGCATAGTAAGTTTGAAAATGAAAACATTGAAGAAGACTGACTTTGACACGACTTTCGGGGGCTGTGGTGGAGGTTTGAGGTGGGGGCAATTGATGACACGCCACCAGAGCTAAATTAACATATGCGTACGCCGCTGTTGTTGTTTTGTTATTATTTATTGCATCATTTACAGCAACAAATGCGCCATTTTGTACGACAGTTTACATAAACAGAAAGGTCGCTCGCATGCAACCCGGTTAGCCTTATTGGCATGCAAAGTCGCCGCGGAGTCAAGCTTCGGATACGGGTCGCCAGTTAGGCGAGTGTGTGGTGTGTGTGGTTGGTCTTGGCGGGGAATGTCACAAACATTGGGGCGATAATGTCTTGGCTCGCCTTCTACGCAGTTGCCGCTATTGAGCAACTGCCCTTGTCGATCTAGAATTAGGGTGTAGGGTAAGGTTGGGGCACATTTTTTAAAACCAAATGCTGAAAATTTGTTAGGAATCATACTTTAATCCTACTTAAACTAAAATACGCAAAATATTAAGAAGGTTTACATCTGCTTTAGCCTAGTAAGTAATATCGAAAAAATGGTTTAAAACAAACACAGTCAAAGTTTTTTAGCTATTACAAATTTAATTGATTTTACCATTTTTTTATATTTTTTAGTTTTAACTTATAAGTAAAACTTAGAAAGTCTGCATGGGTTTCGTTTTGGTGTTTGTATGATTTTCAAATGTTCTTTGCAACCCAAGGTCAAAGTCCGGTATAAATTACGCTTAGTTCTACTAGTTGGTTCGTAAAAATAAAATCCCATATTCGAATAAAAAACCAAGTCTGCCCCTGAATCACCTGGCGGAAATTCTCCACCCGTCTACTCAGAACTCCAACTGTGAAAATACAACTAACTGGGCAAATTATTATTAAAAATCGCATTAGTTTCATTGATTTCCCCCAGCTGATTGGTTATGTAAATGCAGCCAGTTTCAGCCGCTTGTTATTTCCACAGCTGGATTGGCGCATTCCCCAGAGCCCGTTTATGCTTAGCCCGGCTCTTTGGCAAGATTACGATTCTGGGCAGGCAGCAAACAATCCTTTCGCAATGCCAGCAACAAAGCTCCATCGGCCATAACAATAATTTGCGATCGCTGGAGCTGTCAACTTTGCATACATTCTTTGACTGCAACCTGTCGTCGCTCGTGCTTGTGGATGTGTTTTCTTGTGCTGGGTTTGGCAACCGACCCGTGAGTCACTTGCCACAACAACCACAGCAGCTATCATAATCGCTGCGAGTGGCCGCGTGTGTTGGTGTGGCAATCAATGAGATTTTCGGAGTGTGCAGCATAAAACGGAACGCGCAACGCAACGCAACGAAACGAAAGACTTCAATGCAAGGCAAGGCAACAAACTTGTTTTATCAGCCTGCTCCAAACACATGGACCGCCCGATGCCGATCCTCTCGAGCTTTGATCGCATGCGTTGCACTCGCGAAACCCAAGCAAAAGCTCCCGCTCGCTTACTCTCGCTTTTGCTGTGGCAAACCTACCTACCTGTGGGGTTTTGCCTACCTGTTTATCAGGTTTTCGAGTTTCGCTTTGTCGCAACGCAAAGCCGAGCTTCTGGCCGAGCTTTCGCCGCCTGAACATCTTACGATCTTACGTCGGGGGGCCACTTAAAGACGGCGACTTCAGTTACTCGGCGGCACTGCGAGCGTTCGAGTCGTTGACGATTTTTGCCGGCGGTTTAGGCAACGTTCCCTGCTCACCGTTCACCGTTCACCGATCCCCGTATACCGTATACCGATCTCCGTGCACCTTCCACGTTCCACAGTCCGAGCCCAAGAATCTTGGCTTGCACATCGGACCGCCGCAAGTCCGTGTAACCGTCGAACCCAGTGTGAGTGAGTGTGTTGGCTACTGGCCTGGCTATTTGGAAATGCCTGTGGTTTCCAGCCCGTCCCGTTCAAACCTGCCGCACCAGATACAAGTATTTTAGTACCAGTGGCAGTTGCAGTGGCAGTGTGTTGGGGCAGCTATCGGAATCGCATTCCTAGGAATCGCCTGACTTCGATTGTTGTTTCTGCCCCGATCGGTGGCAGACCCTTCCGTTCCCCGGTCCTAGTGCGAATCCACATCCCAGTCCCCAGTCCCCAGTCCCCAGTATCCAATCCCCAATCCCCAACTTCGACTCCAATCAGAGAGCTGCGGATTGAGCAAGACCTTGCCCAGTCAGCCAAAATGAAACCACTTCGACAGCGAGTTCGCTTAGCAGCGCTACAAAAGCGGAAAATCATTGAATTATGCTTTGGGGGCCTTTGATTTTGTTGTGTTTTTATTTCTGTTTCGGTTTCTGTTGCTGTTTCTGTGCTGCCTCCGCGGCTAAACGCTGTCTGCGGCCCTGCCAAAAGCGCATTTGATGTACGTGCATAGTTTTATGATTACTTGTGTGGAAAAAGTGAAATTTCGCTCTGCACTCCACTCGAGCTGCCACGAAGCAGCGGCTCAAAGCGAAATTAAATAAAACGTTAAAAAGCTAAAAAGTTAA